GTGTCGGTTTACTGTCGGTTGGCCGGGGTTGGTGGTAGAGGCCAAGCGTTCTTGGTGTTGTGTCCTGTCCTCGGTTGGGTTGGTGTCGTTCTGTGGGGCCGCTTGAGTCAAGGTCGTGTTAGACTTGTTGACTAGACTCTAGGCTGGTATTCGTTTCGGGAAAGTAGTGCCTCTTTGGTCCGTTCGGTCCGCGGGGCGGTGGTAGTCCGAGGGTTAGGGTCAGGGGGCTAGTGTGTATTAGTTCTCGTCGTACTCCCCCTGCTTCCGGACCCTCCTCCTTCTCCGGCGTCAAGGGGAGATCGGGTCGTGAGGTCTCGTGTATTGTCTTGTCTCGTCTCCCCCCGGGCGTCCCCCTGCGCCCCCCGGGTCCCCTGCTGGGAGGGGGTTTGTGGTGGGGTAGGGTATTGGGGGCCAGGCGGAACTGGAAGGGAGGGGGTGTAGGGAGGTGCGGGTGCCTCTTGGTTATGCTGGTTCATACTCCCCTATCGGGTCTACGGGTTGTCAGGATGATGGGTCGTGTGATGTCTGTCGCTAAGGGGTGTGGTTAGGTTGCTTCGGGTGTGGGCTGCGGCAGGTGATTCATGTCCCAGAGGTCCCAGGTTCTGTGGAACGTTTTGTAGGAGTCGTGTATCTGAGCGGTTAGTTCGTCCAGGTCTCTGGTTTCTTTGATCTTGTTGATGATGGTGGAGGTCGTAGGGGTACGGTGGTCGGCCCATCTCTCTGCAATTGCCCTACGGGTTGCCAATGTTATTCTGGCGGCTAGTTTGTTTTTGCTCCTTGTAAGGGAGTCTAGTGGTTTGTTAAGTAGCATCGTCCACGGTTGCGCCGTGTAGGGCTTGTCGAGGATCTGCGCTATGAGGTTGCTAATTTCAGTCCATAGTGGTTTGATTTTAGGGCAATTCCACCAGCAGTGTAAGTAGGTACCCTTTTCGCCGCACAGTCTCCAGCATAGGTTGTCGGGTTTCTGGCCCATTCTGTGGAGCTTGTGCGGCGTCAAGTACCAGCGGAACAGCGTTTTGTACGGCTGTTCTTTGTGAGTTATACATACTGTCAGGGAATTTGTTGCTTCCCAGATTGCTGCCCAGTCGCTCGAGTCTTCTGGCGGCCCGAGGTCCCGCTCCCAAGCCGTTATGTAGGTGAGGGTAACGTTGGAGACGTGTGTCGTTAGGGTGGTGTATAGTCCTGAGATTTGTCCCGAACCTAGGGGTGCGTCGAAGCACCTCTTCCCGAATGGCGTTGGGGGTGCTGTCCCCGCTTGTTTGATCATTGGCTGCCTGGCTAGGTCCCTAAGCTGTATGTAGCGAAAGTAGTCTGCGGTGGTTAGTGTTTCGCTATTTGGGAGGTCCTTGTAGTCAATTATCTCGCCTTGATGGTATAGGTGAAGTAGTCTGGATATGTCCCTTTGGTCAAATGCATGGAAGTGCTTTGCTACCAGTCCTGGGGGGAAGAGTTTATTGCGGTAGATAGGCGTCACCGGAGATATGAAGGAGGATAGTTCGTATTTGGGGTTGAGTTTGTCCCATAGAGCCAGCGTGTGGGTGATTGCCGGTGAGGTGGTTGGAGGAAGCGGCTGATGTGCCGGAGGCACCCACATGTAGGACGATGGCTGGTCCCATCCCATGATGTCGTGTTCCAGGTCTACCCATCGTTTGGCGCTCGGGGGGCGTGCCATTGTTGTATGTGGGCCAGTTGGGCTGCGTTGTAGTATTGCTGGAAGTTGGGTAGTCCCAGGCCTCCGCTAGTTTTGGGGACGTACATAGTTGCCCTGTGGATGCGTGGTTTTTTACCCTTCCATATGAATTTGTCAATGGCGGCCTGGAGGTCACCGAAATCTTTTTTCCGTATGGGGATGGGTAATGTTTGAAAAAGATATAGGAAGCATGGCAGTAAGTTCATCTTGATGGTTGTAACTCTGCCCAGCCACGAGATCCCTAATTTGTCCCAGTGCTGGAGGTCCTGGTGAGCCGATGTCAGCAATGGTTTGTAGTTGAGGTCGTATGTGTCGTCAAGTTTGTGGGGCAATCTGGTGCCTAAGTAGGTGAGGTGTGTCATGGTGACTTTGAATGGGAACGAGTGCCACAGGAGATGGAGTTGTTGTGCAGTCATTGCCACGGGCATGAGGATGGACTTTGTCAGATTGAGTTTATACCCTGAAAAGTTGGAGTACTCGGATATCACGTCCAGAGTGGCGTGTAAGGATGGGAGCGGGTCCGCTAAAGTTAGGAGGACGTCGTCCGCATACGCCGCCACCGCGTACTCTTCGCGTCTGATGCGGATGCCTTTGATCTCTGGGTGGTTGCGTATGGCCTGCAGGAGTGGTTCTAGCGAGATTGCAAATATTAGGGGGGAAAGGGGGCAGCCTTGCCTGGTTCCATTCGTGATGGTGAAGGTTTGGGCCTCGATATTGGGTAGAAGCAGTCTGCCCGTAGGACGGTTGTAGATTGCCGCCAAAGCATTCAGAAATCCAGTCGGGAATTCCAGGTGGGATAGGATGTGGAACATGTATGGCCAGAGAAGGCGGTCGAATGCTTTCTCTGAATCCAGCGAGAGCATGACTGCCGGGATGTTCCGATGTTGGGTATACCAGATTGTGTTAAAGGCTCTCCGTGTGTTATCCGATGCCTGCCGTTTTGGGATAAACCCGACCTGGTCTGGGTGAATCAGCTGGGGGAGGTAGTCGTTGAGGCGGTTGGCCAGCGCTTTTGTGAGGATTTTCAAATCCGTATTCAGAAGTGAAATGGGCCGATAGTGGCCTGGTTCCAGTTGTTCCTTGCCTGGTTTAGGCAGAAGGCATATGTCGGCTGCGAGCATGTCCGGGGGGAGGTGTTGTCCCTGGAGTAAGGAGTTGAAAGTTTTGCACGGGTGCGGTATGAGTGTCGCCTGGAACGTTTTGTAGTAGAGGGCGGTAAAACCGTCGGGCCCTGGACTCTTCATTGGTTTTAGCGTTTTAAGCACTAGAGCAAGTTCTTCGCCCTCTATGGGTGACTCCAGCCGTGCCTGTGCCTGTGCCTGTGCGGGCAGAGTGGGCAGATTAAGTGGTTGTAGGAAGGAGGAGATTCTGTCCTTTTGGGTGGTGTCCCCTGTTGGCGACGGTGGGTCGGAGTGGTTGTAGAGTTTTGTATAATATTGTAGGAATTCCTATTTTGTCAGGGTTGTTCGTGATCTCCCCTCTGCTGGTTCTGATCTTGGTGATTCTTTTGTTGTCCTGTCGTTTTTTAAGACAGTGTGCCAGGAGGGAGTCCGCCTTGTTCCCTTTTTCATAAAAGCGTTGTTTAGTCCACATGAGGTTCCGCGCTACATCTGCCGTGGAGAGCCGCCGAAGATGTTCTCGTATGGCGGAGAGCTGCTTTAATAGGTCGTCTGAAGGGTTCCGGTTGTGTAGCGTTTCCAGCTTCGTTAGGTCAGCTAGCGCTTCCGTGAGGTCTTTGAGACGGCGTTTTTTCTGAGCTGTGGCGATTGCGATCAGTTGGCCTCGGATGGTCACTTTGTGGGCTGCCCACACCGTCGCCGGGGCCATGTCTTCCGTGGCGTTTATGTCGAAATAGGTTTTGAGGTGGTCGGTTATGGCGTGTACCGTTCCTTTGTCTCGGAGAATCCATGGGTTGAGGCGCCAACGCCATAGACGGGAGAGCCGAGGGATCCGGAGGTGATTTCCGCATGGTCCGACCACGTGATGTTGCCGATGGACGATGGATTGCCTGGGAAACTAAAAAACTGTCTATGCGCGAGTATGACCGGTGCGTGTGGGAGTAGTAGGTGAAGTCTTGGTCTGCCGGGTGTTGGGCCCTCCAGATGTCCAGTAGTGTCGTCCCCTCGAGGAAGGTTGCGTATAGCTTATCATTCCTGGTTGGAACTGGAGCCCTGTCTCCATAGGCTCTCCGGTCCATGGTGGGTGTGTGTGTCACGTTTAGGTCTCCTCCTATAATTAGGTATTGGTTAGAGACGCCGTCGAGGTGGGACTTGAAGGTGCTCCAGAAATTGGCGTCCGGTATCGTTGGCGCATAGAGGGAGCAGATTGTGAGTGGGGTTGTACCCACATGTCCCGTGAGGATCAGGTATCTCCCGTCGGGGTCTTGGATTGTGCGTATGTCTTCGAGTGGACAAGAATTGCGTAGGAGGATTGCCACTCCTTTTTTCTTTGGGTCCGGGGAGTTGGCTAGGAAGTGTCGCTTGAAGTGTCTGTTGGTCAAGGGAAAGCTTTTCTGGTCTGTGAAGTGGGTTTCTTGGAGCAGGATTATATCCGCCCCTGTGCGGTTGGCCCAGCGGAGTAGCCCATGTCTCTTCCCTGGGGAGTTCAGTCCCTTCACGTTGAGAGAGGTTAAGCGAGTTTTCACATGCGGTGGGTTTATGGCGTGCCTGGCCCTAGGGGGTGGGGGCAGATTGTACTTGGTGGCGGGCGGGTGGGTGGTTGGGAGGGCTTCAGGGTAGCGGGACCCGGGGTGCGCGGGCGCGGCGGACCAGGGGGGCAGTCACAGAGGGTGTGGTGGGGAATAACTGGGCTTATCGATCTGGCCAGTCGTCTGTTCGGCGGGAGGGCTCGGTCTCCTATCCTTGTAGTGGGATTGGAAGTCACAAGTCCCTAGGGAGGTGGGTGGCAGGTCGTGGCAGGTCCTGCCTTCAGCCTGCCTGGTTCGCGGTTATGTTGGCTGAGCTCCTGATGGGGAGGGGCGGGGAGGGGGAAGGTACGTGTGTGAGAGAGTGCGGCTTTTGTTTGCAGCGGTCGTCCTGCAACCGTCCCACAATCTTGGGGGGTGCAGGTGCCTCGTGTGGTAGCGTGGAACGTTGAGGCTGGCTATTCAACCTCGGCATATGTATGCACATATTCAACATGGCAACTATTCAACCTCGTATGAAAAACATCAATATAACCACATTAAGAAATGCATTTTCGTTACATTTGTGTTATTTACAAAGAGCTTAGTGTGGTAGCTATACATGCAGAAGTATGCAAGAGCACCCAACCGGTCACAGTTTGTGTCTTGTTTTCCCCTATGAGTAGGCTATGATGTTGGGTCTTGGCCAGCCCCGCTTTGTGTAGAGTTGTGTGTGCTCGGTATCTGCGGTCTGCGGTTTGTCTGTCTGGTTACTCTGTGGTGCCTCCCCGTCCTGGTCAGGTCCCTAGTGGTGTCGTTGTTTTTGGTCTGGACCCTCCCGATCCCCTGTTGGGCTCGTCGCTTGTGCCTGAGCTGGGGTGTCCACAGTGTCAGTCCCACGTGCATGTCACCTCTCCGTGGTCGCCCCTTGGCCCTGCAGTGATGTCGCTCTAAAGAGTGTGGGTAGTTGGGTGGGGGCCCATCCCCGACTCTGGGCGTGTTTGTCGGCGTATGTATTGCAGCTGGGGTCCTGCGTCTGCCCGCTGCGGGATTCCCGTTAGTCTCCAAAGTTATCACTGTGGTCTGGGGCTTCTGGGAGTTGTTGGGTGAGGCTGTATCTGATGATTTGCAGTCCGCTAGGGTCAAGTGGTCAGTGAGGTATACAGGTCGGATGGTTTAGTCCCCCGGTCCCCTGTTGCTGGTTGACGTATAGCTTGGGTGGGTGGCGGGAATGGCGGGTAGGCCGCCCCCTAGCTATCTGCCCTGGTAGGCCGGCCGCCCGGCGTACCATAGCGTGTCCCTAGTCAGCGGCGGTCCGGGTGTGTGTGGGTCCGTCCCTAGGGTTGGGGCTGATTCCCTGTCAGGTCGTTGGGTTTCCTGTGGTCCTTCTGGGACGTGTGAGCGGGGGTCAGTGTGTGCGTCCCCTGGTGTCGCTTCGGCGTGGTGTGGGTCCGGTTTTGTAGGGTGTGCTTAGTCAGTCTGCGTCCAGTTTGGGCCTGTCTCTGGGGGTGGTATGGGCCCTGGGGGTGGCCATAGCGGGGGGGTCCCTGGTCACCGGTCTGACGGGTATTGAGCCTAGGATACTTGTCTGTTCCGGACCCGCTATTTGGGTGCTTGACGGGGTGTCCCCCCGAGTTGCGTAAGGCCTTCGTGTGGGAGTGTTGCCCCGTGACTCTTCCCCGGGGGTACCCCCAGTAGAGCCCCTTGTCAGTTGGACAGTCCGCTCGGCCCCTTGCTGAGGTGTCTGCGGTCCCCTTGAACTGTGTGGTCTGTCAAGTGGGGGCTTGAGGTGTGTAGTGAAACCCGTCTAAAGGCCGGGCACTGCCAGGTGTGGTCGGCCCCCCCAGGTAGCGATGGGCCCCTTGCTGTGTCCCCAGACTTGTCTGTGAGGCGTGTCGTATTCCTTGAGGTCTTGCCCGCCCCCCAACCCCCTCCCGGTTGCCCCCCTCCCCGCCCACCCCCCCACAGCCCCCCCGTCCCTTGTGGGTGTTCGGTGGCTGCAGGTGTAATGTGTGTAGATATGGTTCCCCATTAAAACTTGCAGACCTGAGACCATAGTTCGTGGGGAGAAAGTGTCCGGTTCAGTAGTCCCTGTCCCCTGCATGCTGTGATGTCCTCTCATGATGTCTCGGTCGCCGGGGGTCTCCGGTTCTGTGGCGAGCGCTGTCGACGGGTTAGTAGGGTTGATGCTCTGTCGTTGTGGTGGTGTTTGTGGCCTTCGGGTACTGGCTAGAGAGTTCTCTCTAGAGAGGGTCAGGCTCACTGTGTGGGGTCGGTCTGTGGCCTGATGGGGTGCGTGGTTCTGGTGCTGTGTCGGTGGTGCTGGTACCGTGTCCGGTCGGTGCTCACGCTGCGTCTGTGGCTTGTCGTCTAGTTGCGTGCGGCGTCAGGCCTGGGTGTCTCTGCGTGTGGTTGCTGAGTATGCCTGTCTCTGGCCGGTAGGTTGCGGTGTGCTGCTTGCGATGTGGCAAATCCCGAGGCAGCTGGGGGAGGCTCAGGTAGTCGTGGAAGGCCCAGGTGGTTCAGGAGGGCATGGATTTCCACGGCATGTGAGATGGAGTGGAACCTGCCCTCCCTACAGACGATGAGCTTGAAAGGGTGGCCCCAAGCGTACCTGAGGCCATGCTGTGTGAGGTGCTGAGTGAGTGGTTTTTTCAGGGTGGTCGGCGCCAGGTCTTGGAACAGCTGGACCTGGACGCCCTCCACCTCTATGGGAGTCTCTCTGGCTGCCTTCATAATGCGCTCCTTTATATGGTAAAAGTGGAGTCGCACTATCACGTCCCTTGGGGTGGCTGTGTTGGTGCTGGGAGCTCTCAGCGCCCGGTGTGCCCGGTCCATGAGTAGGTCGGTGGTGGAGGCCTCTGGCAGGAGGTGCTGGAACACTTCTGTGAGGGTGGCAGTAAGCAGTTCCGTGGAGATGGTCTCCGGTATGCCCCTCACCCTAATGTTATTCCTTCTGGTCCTGTTGTTGAGGTCCTCATTGGAGTCCTTGTAACGGAGCTCCTTGTACTCCGACTGAGTACCCTCCGTTGATGGATGCTCCTAGCGCTTCCTGAGAACTCCCAAGCACTGCAGCAGACACCACAACCACCGCAGACTCCGCAACCTCCGTATCTTGACTGGAGTCTCGCCGTCTTCCTTCCACCCTGGATCAGCTTCTGTCCTCCAGGACTGTGTGGTGAAGACCCCTCCTCCAAGGAGAGCGTGTCAGGAACAATCTCTTAAAAGAGCTAAGTGACTCAAGCTCAGGGGAGCATGCAGAGCATAGCAATCCCCAGTGTGATTATAACAGCTCCCTCCAATAACGAGACAAGGCTACGTTTAGAGGGATCAAGAAGAACTGTCAAAACCTTTATTTCCCTTGGGACCAGCCAATAGGGTCACCACAATAACATTGTTGTGAAACCTCAATAAAATCACAAACAGTCAAACCATATCAAGAAACACACAGTGACTTATCACAACACAATGGCACATTTTTAAAGGGGTGGGGGGAGACAATATTTAACAGTAAATATCTCACCTGCCTGCAGAATTAGCAATATGCAAATCTACCCGAATATGCAAATGAACCAGTCTTGCAATTCAGGTAGTGCATATTGCTGTTGCTACCAACAGAGGGCACTAGACAAGCTCCATAGCCAAACCCACCTAGTTGGTAGCAAACCTCAGCAGTACAGGAGAGCAGGCAATACATTTCACAGTACACACACACACAAACTATAAACAATTACATTACACACACCCTGCACCTATAATGGGTACAGGGTGACTAAAACATAAGATAAATAAAGCAACCTACATAAATAGTCTGTCTGAAGGTAGACTAGGGGCTTTAAAGCCAGATACATGAAAGAGTCATAGTCACAGGGGAGGAGGCTGGCAAGTAGGCCTCTCCAGGACCAAGTGGCGAAGGGCACTTCATCACAGTCCTCTAGGGTGCGCAGTTGCTCACGGAGGTCTTGGAGCTCCCCGCCATGCGCCTGCACGGCCTCCATTGCCTCCGCCATTTTCGATTCAGCGGCCTGCGTTCGGGCCGTCAGGTCCGCCATCCCCTCCATTATCGGACCCAGCTTCTTGTCCAGCTCTTCTGCCACCGATTTGCGGAAGTCGGCAAGGAACCCTCTCATATCTCGCCGTGTTAGTGGGGCTTCCGCCCGGTCCGAGACCGTGTGGCTGCTCATCTCGGAGTCGGTGTCAGACGGTGAGTGTGTTAAAGATGGCGCCTGGGCCTTCGCGGCCTTCTGCTGAAAAATTGGCGCGACCGCAGAGTTGCGGGTTTTCTTGCCGCCACCCATGGAGGGCGTGAGCGGGGGTATTGGGGTGGGTGTCCGGGTGTTTTGGGGATATCAGGGGGCTCGGGTGCGTTTGATGGCTGTAGATAACGGCTAGGCCTAGGCAGAGCTCGGGGATTATGCGGCCATGTCCCTGCTCAGCCAGGCTCCGCCTCCCAATTGTCACTGTTCTGAATGTATAAAGTAATTTTGAATGAATTACTTTATACAATTAACTCTAGTTGTTTTATCTTCCCTGCCATTTCTAATGTTTATTCATGTATTTAATGTTATTTCTCCTCAACAGAGACATTTTTCCATTCTGTACATTGCCCACAAATAAAAGATGAAGAAAACAGACAGCTTTTGAATCTTCAAAGCTCGAGTCAAATTATTTCATAGTAAAATCAAATCCAAAACAAATACATAATTCTGATTAAAAAGTTCTTGTAAATAAATACTGGTCTGTGGAATACACAAGTTAGTTTTGGCATAAGAAAAAAAAAGTATTAACTGGAAATTGTGACTTTGGAAGGGAGTTTGACATTTGTGACAAAAATAGCTGAAATTTAGAATCTTTCTAAAATGGCTGATCAGACTAAAATACCCAATTCTGTGACTAAATCACACAATTTCTGATTTAGTGAATTTTACATATGCATTACAATTGCCACCAAATAGCTGGAGATGTTTTTTTTCCTGTAGTTTTGTTTTTATTCATAAAAAGTACACTTATCCGTGAGATCCGATTCCTACAATACTACTTGTGTTTGATGACTTCTGGTAGGAAAAACTATTTAATGGACAATAAATTTTAAACCAAAAAATTCTTCTTCTCACAAAAACTCAGTCATTTGAGACTTTGTAGAACAAGCAGAAATACTATAGGTAATGCACTATTTAAGTGGGGGGAAAAATGAAAAACTTTGATCATTGAAAGTCAGAATTTCACTTAAACATTTCCAGATGTTATGTCTTAGGTTTGAAAAATATGGAAGCAGAACGGAGTTGTTTGGATCCCAAAGAGAGCCATGGAATTGCGGCTAATTGAACCAGGTGCTGCATAATGAGTTGATTATAGTTTTTTTTGTCAGTTTTTTAATTTATTTTTTATTTCATCAAACAAAATCTTAAATTTTTATAAGAAAGAGAGCCATTTAAGGAGCAACATTCCGTCCAATTATTCAGGAATTCTGTAACAAAAATAAATCCGAAAGACAATGATATAAGTTGAAGAGTGTGAAGATACAACAATTGTAGATCATTGAGCACATGCTTGCATCTTGACTAGAGTTAGCAGAAAAACTATCATTGAATGTGACAAACATATCCTTAGCTGTGATGGTACACTCTTTACTACCTTCTATTTAAAATGATGTACGATTCGTGCTGTCTATTCATGTGCTAAGATAAAACAATCTGAAATTAATTAAAAGCAAAAGAAACCCCATACAAACTTGGCTAGAGGCCCCAAAATGTCATCACTGTTTCTAGTTGGTGAAGGTTTTTATTAAAGGGTCACAAATGCCACTATGTAAGTTGCTCTTACATTAAACAGCCCTCTCTTGAACTGTCAAAAATGTATGGGAAAGTAAAGGAACTTAAAGAGCTAGTAACCTTTTTTATTTCTTTATTTCTTTATAAAATATTTTATCAGGATGGATACATTGACATTTCTCTCGTCCCCAGAACATTGCATTGTTACAATAGGATACAATATTGCAAAAATACAATATACAAACTATATATATATATATATATATATACATATATATATATATATATATATACACACAGTGGTACCTCGGTTTACAAATTTAATGTGTTCTCCAGGATGTTTTGTATTGCAAACAATTCTTAAACCGAAACAAGGTTTCCCATAGGAATGCATTGAAAACCAATTAATCAATTATTAAAATAAGCTTGCATGGAAACTAACCCACAATGCAGAACACACAGTAAAAGGCATGCAAACGACGAAGCTCAGCTCCCTACCTTTCCACCACTTGAGAAATGCACCAAGAAAGTTCCAAAAAGTCCCAAAACCGCTGCAAAATTCACAGAATGGCTCCAAACCTCGATGCAAAAACCACTCCAACACCTCCACACTTGCTACCCACAGACTCCAGCATGCACGGGGGCAGCGCTATAAACCTCCATGCGCAATGCATCCTGGGGAAACTTGCTTTGTATTGCGAAAAAAATTATAAACCAAGGCATTATTTTCAATGGATTTTCATTTGTAAACCGAAAATGATGTTAACCAAGGCGTTTGTAAACTGAGGTACCACTGTATATATATTTATTTACACTGCTCAAAAAAATAAAGGGAACACAAAAATAACATATCCTAGATCTGAATGAATTAAATATTCTTCTGAAATACTTTGTTCTTTACATAGTTGAATGTGCTGACAACAAAATCACACAAAAATAAAAAAATGGAAATCAAATTTTTCAACCCATGGAGGTCTGGATTTGGAGTCACACTCAAAATTAAAGTGGAAAAACACACTACAGGCTGATCCAACTTTGATGTAATGTCCTTAAAACAAGTCAAAATGAGGCTCAGTAGTGTGGGTGGCCTCCACGTGCCTGTATGACCTCCCTACAACGCCTGTGCATGCTCCTGATTAGGTGGCGGATGGTCTCCTGAGGGATCTCCTCTGAGACCTGGACGAAAGCATCTGCCAACTCCTGGACAGTCTGTGGTGCAACGTGACGTTGGTGAATGGAGTTAGACATGATGTCCCAGATGTGCTCAATTGGATTCAGATCTGGGGAACGGGTGGGCCAGTCCGTAGCATCAATACCTTCGTCTTGCAGGAACTGCTGACACACTCCAGCCACATGAGTTCTGGCATTGTCTTGCATTAGGAGAAACCCAGGGCCAACCGCACCTGCATATGGTCTCACAAGGGGTCTGAGGATCTCATCTCGGTACCTAATGGCAGTCAGGCTACCTCTGGCGAGCACATGGAGGGCTGTGCGGCCCCCAAAGAAATGCCACCCCACACCATTACTGACTCACTGCCAAACCAGTCATGCTGGAGGATGTTGCAAGCAGCAGAACGTACTCCACGGCGTCTCCAGACTCTTTCACATCTGTCACATGTGCCCAGTGTGAACCTGCTTTCATCTGTGAAGAGCACAGGGTGCCAGTGGTGAATTTGCCAATCTTGGTGTTCTCTGGCAAATGCCAAACATCCTGCACGGTGTTGGGCTGTAAGCACAACCCCCACCTGTGGACGTCAGGCCCTCATACCACCCTCATGGAGTCTGTTTCTGACCGTTTGAGCAGACACATGCACATTTATGGCCTGCTGGACGTCATTTTGCAGGGCTCTGGCAGTTCTCCTCCTGTTCCTCCTTGCACAAAGGTTTTGGTAGCGGTGGGACCAGCTAGGTCCTGCTGCTGGGTTGTTGCCCTCCTACGGCCTCCTCCACGTCATCTGATGTACTGGCCTGTCTCCTGGTAGCGCCTCCATGCTCTGGACCCTATGCTGACAGACACAGCAAACCTTCTTACCACAGCTCACACTGATGTGCCATTCTGGATGAGCTGCACTACCTGAGCCACTTGTGTGGGTTGTAGACTCCGTCTCATGCTACCACTAGAGTGAAGGCACCGCCAGCATTCAAAAGTGACCAAAACATCAGCCAGGAAGCATAGGAACTGAGAAGTGGTCTGTGGTCACCACCTGCAGAACCACTCCTTTATTGGGGGTGTCTTGCTAATTGCCTATAATTTCCACCTGTTGTCTATCCCATTTGCACAACAGCATGTGAAATAGATTGTCACTCGGTGTTGCTTCCTAAGTGAACAGTTTGATTTCACAGAAGTGTGATTGACTTGGAGTTACGTTGTGTTGTTTAAGTGTTCCATTTATTTTTTTGAGCATATATATACACACATATATATATATATATATATACACACACATATATAAATGTAATACATAACAGGTTATAAATATATTCAACCATGACAGGTTCATTCTGTGCTGAGTTATATTGCCATAGATCTCTTAAAAGATTTTAGATTGAATGAAGATTTGACTGTGTCCTTTAGGTTATTCCATAATTTTGGTGCTCTGTAGGAAAAGGAGGATTGAGCCACTTTATTTTTGTATTGCGGTATGCAAAATGTCGTGCTAGTACTGGATCGGAGGTTATAGGAGGTGGGACCAGCTAGGGAGAGCATTCTGCTCAGGTAGGGTGGGAGCTTCCCAGAAATGCTCTTATGCACAAGGCTGGAAAGATGAAGAGTGCGTCGGGATTCCAGCGACAGCCAGTTTAGCTCTTTTAACATGTCACAGTGGTGGGTAAAGTAATTACATTCTAGTACAAAGCAGCAGAACAAATTATATAACGTATTACGTTTATTAAGGTGGGTTTGCGGTGTGGGTACATACACTACATCCCCATAATCAATGACCGGCATAAGCATTTGTTGCACTATCTGTTTCCTTACTGTAGGGCTTAGGCAGGATTTGCTACTGTACAGGGCACCTAGTTCTGGATAAAGTTTATAAGAGATTTTTTCAATGTGAAGGCCAAAGGATAGATTGGGGTCTAGCAACATACCTAGATATTTAAATGAGTGTCATTTGTTATTTTAACAACCAGGGTGGTAGTACATCCAGCAAAATAATTATTAAAGGCATTTGCTACTTCTAGGGGGTGTTGCAGTGTTTGGTTGTCCATTTTGACAGTGGGGGGTTGGGAGTGGATTGCGGGGGTTTGTATGCTATTTATGATTTTCCAGAAGTTTCTTGGGTTTGATAGGTTGTTGTTCAAATTTTCACTGAAATATTGGGCCTTTGCCCCATTGTCTGTAAGTACAGTGATCGTTCATGGGGCCAGTACGCTTAAACTTTGACCACAGTGAATCTCTAAACTGGTATAATTGAATGAGGTAAGCTGTAACCCAGGGCATATGTGTTCCTTTTAGTCACACTTTACGCAGAGGGTCATGCAAATTCCAAACATGCAAGAGCTCGGACTGAAAAAAATGCAATTTCAGAGTCTATGGTATGTTCTTGGGATCACTTAAAAAGAATTCAAGATTACATTTTTTTAAAGACCTGGTGATTATAGTCTTGGGAGGGAAATTAAGTGGCCTTCTTTTGCGCATGCAGTGCACTAGACAATAATCACTGTAACTATTAGGGAGAATGGCCGCCTCCTGTTGTCTGTCAGGACAACTGGAGAGAATCCAATCGAGCAAGGTATGGTTCTGGCTTTTAATGTTAATGCGAGTTGGGGAGGAAATGAATTGTGTTAGCTGCAAAGTCTTAAACAGCCTATATGATTTATTATTTTTAGGATTCAGCCAATCAATATTAAAATCTCCAAAAAACAATAGTTCACTTTTTTGGTTTTGAGCTACAGTTTCACTAAGTAGTTGGGCTATGTCAGAAAGGGAGTGCACCGGAGAGCTAGGTGGGCGGTAGATTCCAGCAACAATGATAGTTTTACTGAAAGGAAATCAAAGGCAGAAAGGGAGTTATAGTTGTTTAACCCCTTAAGGACACATGACATGTGTGACATGTCGTGATTCCCTTTTATTCCAGAAGTTTGGTCCTTAAGGGGTTAAAGGAGTACATTTTATGGACTTGTCAACATAATAGAAGTAAACATTAAAAAATATAGCACATGGTGTATTTTTTTTTTTTGTTACGTGCTATTTTATTCTGTGCCTGTAGCCACAACTGAAGCTTGCAGACCCTTACCTTCACCGGCAGAAACTTACTGCTAGGAGCAACTTGATTTTCATACACTGCTGACAACAGCCTGATTATCAGTCCTTGCTGTTTGCTTGATATTGTCATGCTACAGTCCGAGAATCTCCTGAGCCTCATCTTCTGAATGGTAACGATGTGTGCTAGCAATTTAAAGCAGCATCTATCTGAAAACACTTAACACGTTTGCAACTGTCCTATATTAAAGGGACACTCCAAATACCTAAATCACTTTAGCGTGCTGAATTGATTTGTGTGTGAAGAGTGTGTCCTCTGTTTTTTAATTTTAAGAAAAGTGCAGATTTCAATAGAAATTGGCACTTTTCTTGACATGTGCACAGTCGTTATTTGGCATGTGCTAAACCCATAATTAAATGACACTTGGACACCAATTTTCCGTTGGAGTATAAAGTCCACAGCTTTATTAATAATTATATAATTTAACAATTTAACAATTTAGGGTAATTGTCACAAGTATTAATTATGTCCGACCTTCCTGCACAATGACCCTACCAAATAACAATAATTAACATTCCAATAATGCATAACGTTTTACACATGGCCTACCAAAGAGGCCCCATAACCATATGTTTAACTGTAGGGGTGTACCCAGACACCCCTATACCCCCAGGTTCGTAGCCACCAACGAGCTTGAACCTACCAACCACTTTCCACCACGGCATACTCCAACCTAAACCTTGGCCTGCCCACTTCCTATTCCACCTAAATCCTCTTTAACCCACGCCCTATTACCGGCGCTGTGACCAAACGGGAAACTGCCTCAAACCAAAGGGAGGGTGGGAGGGACAAGTAACAAGTAAGTGAGGTTTTGATTAAGATGGCTACTTCACTAAAAATCCTGTTATTTAAACCCCTACTGTCCATCCCCCAAACCCAATATAAATTTTTTACACCCCCTGACCTTAACGTCACCTGCCCACTCTCTGGCACTGTCAAGGCCCACTCCCCCACTGCGTTGCTCCGTGGGCTTCATGACATGTGCACAGTCGTTATTCGGCATGTGCTAAACCCATAATTAAATGACACTTGGACACCAATTTTCTGTTGGAGTATAAAGTCCACAGCTTTATTAATAATTATATAATTTAACAATTTAGGGTCATTGTCACAAGTATTAATTACGTCCGACCTTCCTGCCCAATACCCCCGACAAAGACCCTACCAAATAACAATAATTAACATTCCAATAATGCATAACGTTTTACACATGGCCTAACCAAGAGGCCCCCTAACCATATGTTTAACTGTAGGGGTGTACCCAGACACCCCTACACCCCCAGGTTCGTAGCCACCAACGAGCTTGAACCTACCAACCACTTTCCACTCCGACATACTTCAACCTAGACCTTGGCCTGCTCACTTCCTATTCCACCTAAATCCTCTTTAACCCACACCCTATTCCGCCACAGCACATGACTTGACCCCCTTAAGCTCATGTGCGACCCCCACCACACAGAAACAGGGCCTTGGTAATACTGTCCTGGAAACCCAAATTAAGCAAATCAGAACCCACGTCTGACAAATGCACCCCATCCTTCCTAAAATACCCGGGCAGCATGCCCTCCAACTCCTGGTGCCGCACTACCATGCCACCTATCCTTCTAACAAAAACCGCCATGGTCTTATTGACCTTGGCCCTACATCATGCCACAGCAGCCAGATCCCTGGCGTGTCTACAAGTAAAACGAGGCACCATCTCTGACCAAACCACTACCACGCCAGGAACCAGTTCCCGCAGCCGATCCAAATCCCTTTTCATCCTCCTCAACAGTTCTCGCTGGGGGATCAAGCCTAGGTCGTTCCCCCCACCGTGAACCAATATTACATTTGGGAATAACCCCCTTTTTATCCTTTAAAACAATTCCTTTCTGATGCTCTGCCAACTGAAACCCCTGAATCCCATCAAAATAGAACCACCGTCTCCATAGGAAAGCCCAGTTTCATTCCGTTTCTTCTCACTGCGGCCCTCGTCTGTGCCCATTACACGTATGAATGTCCAATCAGCCATACCAACCGACCTAAAATAGATAAAACAGTGAACAACAGAGCAACCCTAACAGTAAACGCCCCAGCCCCCGTTACACCAACCTGTCAGGTCTAACGTACGTGCGGAACCGAAAGGATTCCCTCCTCCCTATCCGCTTGATCCACTCATCTCCCAGACCTAGACGTGCCGCCTCCGTTGCTGCCCCAATTCTAAAAGAATGTGTCCCAAACTGCATTGGGTCCAGGCCCAACTTAACTAACCCAGAGCGAAATATCCTAACGAACTGAAAACGGGATAACGCCGTACCATCAGCATGAATAAAGAAACAGCCTTCCCTCTTGGGGCGAACTTCCAATAAATCGGCACTGCAAGCCACCGGGAAAACCCTAGACCCTGGCAACTCAAACAATGTCACCGAGCATCCCTTACCGAAAAGTCTGTTTTCGAGCGGCCCAACTTAATCAGCACCCTATCCTTGCCGACCGCCACGTCTACCCACCGCAGTCCACCAACCCCCGCTTTGTTGACGCTGATAAGCTCCCCAATTCGAAATGCCCACAAGAAAGCCCAAACAAACGCCCCGGAAAATAACACTACCTCGTAGGCTGAGTAACATAAGGTCGGTAGAGCCTCCACTAGCTCTTGCAGCACCGCAAATGACACCGGCCTACTCGTATCCACTGATTTTTTACCCTTCCGAAAACCTCTTGCCTCACCAGGAAGTGTTTCGTTGTATCCTCCCATCCGTTAAACTTGAATAAGAAAGCCAACGCCGACATGTGCCTGTCTATCATAGCTGGAGACGCCTTTCTAGTGAATAGTCGACACAGTACCCATAACAACATGTCTAGCCGATGCCCTGCTAAAAGGTGCCCTCCCACTTGCGCCACTGTCTCTTCCCACTTGTGCCAAACCTTTTCGTATGCTGCCCAAGTGCCCGGCGCCAGGGAACTCCTTATGAACTCCCCAAGCATGATGTCCCGAGCTGCCACATTTTTTCTGAACAGGCCAGTTCCTCCTCCTGTGCCTCCGTAGCTGCTTCCCGAAAACGCTCCCACTGTGAACGAGACAGCTCGTCAGCCACTATATTCAAGAAACCCGGTACGTGCCTTGCCCTAAACATGATATTGCTAGACATACAGAGAAGTACCAAATGCCTTAATAACCGTACCACTGCAAGCGATGATGCCAACAAACCGTTGATAGCCTGGACCACTGCCATATTATCTGAATAAAAGACCACTTTTTTGTTTGCGAGCTGTTTGCCCCATAACGCCACCGCTACTACCATTGTCCCGCCAAATAAGCCCCGAATCCCACGCTCCCCGAAGCGTCCGTGAACAGGCCCATGGCCTTGGAGGATACCCCTGGCTCCCGAAAAAACACTTTACCGTTAAATTCTTTTAGAAACCTTTCCCATACCTCCAGATCCGCTCTCATATCCACCAAAACCTTAACATAATGATTTGGAAGCTGTACCCCACTCGTCGCCCGAGCCAGCTGCCTACAAAAGACCCTGCCCATAGGGATCACTCGACATGCAAAATTTAGACTCCCCAATAGGGACTGCAGCCCCTGTAAAGTCACCTTTCTCGCACACCTCACTATGTCCACTAGCTGACAAAGCTTATGTAGTTTATCCACGGGTAATCTGCATTCGCCTTCCACCGTGTCAATCTCCAAACCGAGGAAACTGAGGCATGAGGTGGGGCCAACTGTCTTATCCCCTGCCAGGGGAACCCCAAAAGAGTGTGCCACCAACTGAAATACCTTCAATATCTGGCCACACGGCTCGGATCACGCCAGTCCCACGCACAAAAAATCGTCGCGGTAATGCACGATTGCCCCCCCGGCCGACTCCCGTTGCACCACCCATTCCAAAAAAGCACAAAACATTTCAAAATAGGAACACGAGATTGAACAGCCCATTGGTAGACATCCGTCTACGAATAAACCCCCTTCGAAGAAACACCCCAGTGGATGGTGACATTACGGATGTATGGGGAGCAGCCGAAATGCTACTTCCACATCCACCTTCGCCATCAATGCCCCGTGTCCAGCTCTCCGAACCAACTCGACTGCATGGCCGAATGATGCATAGGATACAGAACACAGGGCTGCGTCGATATCATCATTTACTGAAGTCCCTTGCGGGTGCCATAAGTGATGTATCAAGCGAAATTTGCCCACCTCCTTCTTTGGGACCACCCGCAAATCGTCTAAAGGCGGGGATGGAAACGACCCCGCCATCCTCCCCATTTGGACTTTTTTCATTAATTTCTCCCGCACTACCCCTGGGTGTTCCCGAACTGATTTAAGGTTTGCGCACATGGTTCCCGGTCCCTTGACCCTGAATGGGATAACAAAACCCTCCGTAAACCCTTGCCATATGAATCTCGCGTCTTCCTGGTTAACGTACTGCCTTAGCCAAGGCAGCATCGCGCTGACCCTCACCGGCGACTTTCCCAGTTGCAGCCGCCGTAGCTGTTGACCCTGCTGTACCCCCAAGGTTAGATTTTCCTTTTTTAAAGCACCTGTTGACTCCGTGATTGCCCCCGCATCCGGAACATTCATGTTTAAATCTACACGAAGCCCCCCACTTGCATTGCCCCTCATTGTAGAGCCAGCAGAACTCCTTTTTCTGTCCGGCCGACACGGCGTCTCCTGTGGCTGTAACGGCTGTCCCCTGAAAGGGCTCCTTTTTCTGCGTCATCATTAGTTTCATCCATAAAGGTAGGTCCATCTCGTCCCACCTTATGCTAGGATTCGCAGCCAACCGCTGGCGAAACTATTTGTCGTACCGCCACCATGCCAAGCCCCCATAAGTCCTGTAGGCGTCCCCTATCCCGTCTAAATAACAAAAGAGCTGTGAGCATCGTTCTGGGGACTTTTCCCCGACTACGCTCGCCAAAATACAAAAGTCCCTGAGCCAGTTCCCAAAAGTCTTCGGTATCTTTTGATACTGCCGCTTTTTCTCCTCCCCCTCTTTTTTGGCATCTTTCTTATACTCCTCCTTTAAGTCGAGGAATTCCTCGAGCGGGAGCAATGAGAAGATTTCCATGAATTCCCCTCTCCCAATTTTATCTTTTACCTCAGCTTTCAAGTGACATCCCAACGGCCCCGCGAAGGACACATGCACGTTTTGCCGTGCCACGTCCGCTATCTTGCCACACCCTGCTGTCCCGATCCGTCTGCCTTCTCGGCTACCGTCACCCCTTCGCCGGCTTCGCCGACACGCAACCTGCGGGCCACTGTCACCTCAGCCCCCTGCTCCTTATCTCTCCCGCCCTCTGTTGACCATACCCTTCCGAACCGCAGAGATTTTAAGCAACCCAGTAAAGTCCCAGTGTGTGGTGCAATTTGTGACTCACCACTAGTGCCCCCGATCGTGACCGGCCGCGGGGTTGCTGTTCTTCCATCCGCCTTGCCAGGCTCCGGAGAATACTGTTGCCCCGACTCCTGTCCTCCTTGTCCCTCCTCGAGACTGTAAGTGAAACATTCCTTGACCTGCCGGGAGGAGATAACCTGGGTAGTCTGTCCACATGCTGTCTTCCCCGCCCATCCTCCCTGCGCTCCCTTCCATTGGCCCGTCCATCGCCTGGGCCGCAACTCCCGCTCCACGTGATGATGGACTCAGGCACCTCCTCACTGCCGGTGCTGCTCCTGGGCTGAACTATTGGGGCAGTCGTGCTCTTCTCCTTGGCCTCTTCTCCAACACTGCAGGGGGGTGAGCAGACATACTCGGGACCCCCAATTGTTCCTGTAGCCATGCCATCCCCTTCTCCTTCACCATTGCTCGGACACCTGCCAGGATTTCTTCAGCAGAGTCCATACCTGAAAGAGAGAAAACAAACCACACAGACCTGCCACAAGTAACAAGTAAGTGAGGTTTTGATTAAGATGGTCACTTCACTAAAATGCCAGTTATTTAAACCCCTACTGTCCTCCCCCCAAACCCAATATTAATTTTCCACACCCCCTGATCTTAACTTCACCTGCCCACTCTCTGGCCCTGTCAAGGCCCACTCCCCCACTGCGTTGCTCCATGGGCTTCAAAATTAACATTGTTACACCCCCTGGCTGTCAATCAGACAATGCTGGAAAATATGAGGTTGGACAGTCACAGAAAATATGGGCTGGGGAAGAAGGGGAGGGCTTGGAAAGGCTGCAGTTTTTAGATATACCGCTGATTTTAAATAATAATTTAAAAATTCATAATTAAATACATGCCTGTTTTAATTGGGGGTATATTTTCTAAATAGTGATTTATTTTTGTACCCATTTAATACAGTTGGCTTCTATCATGCAAAATCCTATAAGATCCTTACATTTTCTTATGAGACAAAAAAAAAGGATGCTGGCTTTGCAGGAAATGGCACCTGATGTAAGTCACATGCATGTGTGTGCATTTGAAAACTTGGCTGACAGCTGGTTGGTTCTCTAAAATGATGTTAAAGGTACATAAAAAAAAAAGTTACTTTGCAAATATATATGTAATATATTTATCTAAAGGGACACTATAGGTACCCAGACCACTTCATCTCATCTAAGTGGTCTGGGACCACTGTTCCTGTCCCATTAGCCCTGCAATGTTAACTATTAAAGTTTTAGAGAAACTGAAATGTTTTCATCACCAGGTTAAGACTGCCTCCAGTGGACAGCCACTAGAGATGCTTCCTACTGTTTCACGTAGTTTAACTCAGTGAAACAACACTGGATGTCCTTGCACTTTGCACGAGAATGTCCAGCATTTCGAAAAACCTCATAGGAGAGCATTGATTTAATGCTTTACTATGGGGATGGCCTTGCCACGCATGCGCACCAGGTTTCCCCTCCTGATAACATTGGGCACAATAGTGTAAAGGATACAGCTTTTTATTTCCAACACTATATTATTCATTTAACAAATATTCCTGTTTAACAAAATAGATATACGTAAAACTAACACCGCAATGCAATTTTGTAATAATATAGCGCACAGGATTTAAATCTCAACTGTGTTTAGACACTGAATGCTTAGGCATCTCCTTGCTACTCGACCCTCTACAAAAAAATATTTTAGCAATATCTGCATTTGACACAAAGCCTTGACACATCAATTATGCAAATAATGGTAATACCCGTTTAAATCTAAAAGGAGGAGAGCTACATATAACACCCTAAATAAACATTTCCACTACACAGCCATTTCAGTCACTGAAGCTATAAACAGGCCAGATTTTAAAGCTCTACATATTTCATTCAGAGTTGTGAGTTAGATACAATAACTGCACTACTAACACGGCTATATGGTAATTCATCTATCTGCAAGGTGAATGTGTGTATATGTTCATATTCCCAGTTTTTATATTTAGAATTGCATAAAAGAGAATGTTTTTGTATTAATGAGGTAACAGTGAGTGTGTATATCCCCTTAAAGACACATGACATGTGTGACACGTCATGATTCCCTATTATTCCAGAAGTTTGGTCCTTAAGGGGATATAGGTATATGGGCCAGCATACTCCAGCACATTCATCCTATCACAGCCAACCAGGTTGGACAAAATTGTCTGTAATAACACAGAAATGTAATTTCCACATTTTTAGACAGCTGGGAAAAAACCAAAACATGGGGTCTTTGGCTGTTGCTCCAATTTATTTGCCTAGAACTCAAGAGATTACCAAATATCTTTCCAGTAGGGTCTGCACACATCCTATGAGGTAATTTATCTAAATAATATACTGATGCTCCAGGTTCAGGGGAAGGAATACTTCTTAAACTAGAAGAATATTCTGTATCCATATGATAAAGACACATTTTCATGCCACCATAACAGTAAACTGGTTTCATGCGGCAATCTTTCACTTCTGCTCCGTGGTACCCTTTGATAAGAAAGAACATTATATTGTTGTAGATAGAATGTGAAGTGTTAAAGGACCACTATAGTGCCAGGAAAACATACTCGTTTTCCTGGCACTATAGTGCCCTGAGGGTGCCCCCACCCTCGGGGTCCCCCTCCCACCCGGCTCTGGAAGGGGGAAAGGGGTAATAACTTACCTTTTTCCAGCGCTGGGTGGAGAGCTCTCCTCCTCCCGACCATCCTCCCGACTGGCCTTCGGCCGGGCTGAATGCGCACGCCAAGCGCGTACAGCCGCGCCACAAGATTCAGTCGGGAAACTTCATAGGAAAGCATTTACAATGCTTTCCTATGGACGCTGATGCTACTCTCACCGTGATTTTCACAGTGAGAAGACGTTAGTCAGTGGCTGTCAATGAGACAGCCACTCAGAGGGATAGGGGAAGTTGGGTTAATCCATTTCCGAGAATTATACAGCTTCCGAAACTGCTATATAATTATGAAAAAATGGGTTAACCCTAGAAGGACCTGGCACCCAGACCACTTCATTAAGCTGAAGTGGTCTGGGTGCCTAGAGTGGTCCTTTAAGTCTTGGAGATGTATATAACCTTTAGGAGTAATGCATTTGTAGAATGGGAACATGAAACAAAGCTGTATAGATAAGGGTGTCAGGTTTTCACATATTATGAACACTTTCTCTCCTTGGACACAAATACCCTGCCAAGTGTTATACATTATATAGCAATTTCATGGGGATTAAGGCAAGCACGGAAGCCATTTAATCTCTGTTTGTGAACACAGATCATTTTCACAACGCTGGATATAATAACTTTATTCAATCCTTTATATTTCCAGAGCACAAACATACCCTCGGTGTGAAAGGTCAAGCTAAAGGTTAAAATTGCTAGAAATTCACTTTTTTTCTGGTAACAAGTGATAACCTATATTATTTCTGTTTTTGTCACGTCTGTGGACATTCAGTGTTCAAGACCTTATAGAAATTACACATTATCAGATTTTAATAATAGGTGATATGTTAAATGTGAATTTTACAATGTATGTCTAGAACTGAATTAACTGTCACTTCTTTATTAATTTATACCACTAATTAAAACACTAAAAATCTCCTATACTTTGTGTTAGCCTTATTTAGAAAATGACATCACAAACCGGTTCAGACAAGGCAAACCCAGGGCAAACAGTCCAAATAAAGAGTAAAAAAACAACATTATTGTATATCTCCTTTTTCTGTATGCTTTTTCTACGCCATCTGCTAGGTACAAAGGGCAGAGCTTATAACAATGACTGACATGAAAACAAGATGGAGGCACCCAATTACAGGATAAAAAGATGAGGATTTGTATATTTCATATTGTTTTTTCACATCTCAAATATATATTTGTTAAATATATGGATAAGTAAGCATAATATTAAAAATCCTGGGAAGCGGACAGATCCTTTAAGATCTAAATGTTTTAATTGCTGATTGAGTAGTGTGTGTGTTTGGGGGGTCTCCTCTTACCTGGCATGTTCCTTTAATAAAGAGTTTACAGGTTTTATAAAGAACACAGCTGTGAAAACCTGATGCAAAAATGTTCTAAATTACAATTATTTAAAGCTCCAACATTTTCAGCAGACTTGTAAATAGGAAACAATCCAAACATTTAATTCTAGCAAAACTGGTAAGACTTATGGGAGCAGCAGGTGAAGAGAGCCCTTTCCAAATGAGCTTACAATCTAAATACCTAATTGCAATGCTTATGGTGTAAGACTACACTATATTCACGTTGCGCTTATTTCCCATCAACTGTACATAGTATGTTCACTCAGTGTAATTCTTTAGTGATGTTTTTTGTTTGTTTTTTTTTCATCATAGGGGTGAAAGTTAAATTATTAAATATCACAAATAGGTAATGAGTGTACCCTGAATTGTCAAGGAAGAAAGAGTGATTCCAAGTTCTTTGCCTGATATAAAAGACTTGGCAATAACAAATTCATTGGTATCCTGCTTTATACAGATCGTATATTTGAACTACTAACACATGCTCTAATTTAAAAAGAAAAAGGAAAAAAAACGGCAAATTATGCTGTGACCCAGTAATAAGGATGCAGTTTTAATACTTTCTTTAGAACAGTGTGGTCATTCTTGTAAAAACATGTGTTTTATATCACACGCTAAGTGGGTGGCCATCAACGGGTGGGAGAGGGGAGACGTGCTGATTACAGTTTGATAGCTCCATTTTCCAGAGATGTCAGAAGACTTGTGTGACATGCATGTCAAATATTTAGTAAAATTAAACAATAAATTGGCTTGACATTATATTTGTTATGGAATTACGGAGCTTGAGTGTCCTTGGATCGTTTGTTTCTTGTCAATACACATGGTGAAATTAGATATCCAGGCATTAATTACATAAAATTGTGCCTCTGTTTTTTTTAAACAGTAATTGCCACACTTGCCCCATGATGTTCTAATAGAAACTGTGGTTGATACAGATCTGGCACCACAGCACAGTCCTTTCATCTGAAATAAGATTAAAGATTGGCTTGCAGTTTAGACTTAAATTTACTATTAGACTCATTTTCTAATGGATGAAGAGTTGCAGCTTTTAAATAACTAGTTATTTAATGACTCACTGTAAAGACTTAAAACATCATTAGAATGATTTTAAATATCTCTTGTATTATACCAATAGTCGCATACTTCATGAATTCATATTCATAGTAAGTATATGTTCACCTAAACATCTTTTTATCTTGGCTCTCTTGTATTATACTTATTTTCTCAATCTTCCTATATTAATTCACTTAAACTTTAACAGGGTAATTCTAATATTCAGTAAAGCTAATTCCAGTCAGAATTTTCCCAACCTGACCAAATTGGCACTGACTGATTAAATTCGGTGTCCGGTTAAAGTGGACAAATAGTAACCCTTGGCAAAGCACTGGCTAATCATGTGCCAACACTTGCTATCCAGCTGCCACTTTAAAAAATCTGGGGGGGGGGGGGAAGCCTATGGGGTAAATATAACTCCCCTCTTGCTAAAAGGGAGGTTTCAAACCTCCCTTACACCCCACTGGCCATGCAGTGGATGGGGGCATATCTACTAAATAACACAGATGGTGATAGGGTCTTCAAAATAAAGGAGGGCTATAATTATAATTTCCTTGGGGACCTAATGTCCTAATGACCTAAAAGCTGCTGGTGGTGGCCACCTTGCACCTCCTTGGATCCCAAGTCCCTAACCATACCCCCAATAGAAAACATTTTTTTTTATAATTCTTTATTTTTGTTGCGCATTTGTTTAACATAGTCGCTTGAGATGCCACAACAGCTGTCTCAGGCTTCAAACAGAAAACATGAATAAACATTTGGCATTGAAATACTTTGCACAATTTTAAATTAGGAAAGTAAGTTCCCACGTTACATCCTTCTAATTAGAATTATCGCTAGATCGCCATAGTCTCCCGTTTGGAGGAAGAAGTTGTATGGATATAGTGTAATCTGTACATCCAGTATGTGTGTAGGGTTCTGAGTAGCTATTCCTCATCCCATGTTAGTGATTTGAAATATGTACTATGGCGATAAATAATTTTGCCCCACTCCTTGTTAGTGTGGCTCAGTTTGGGGGTCCCAGGTTCTGGCTCGCTTGGTGTGGGTGTACTTAATGTCAACCCTGGGTCTTCCCATGTGTTTAAGTGGTATTCATGCGGTATCAAGTGGTTAGTGGCCCCTAACCAGGGAGGCCGCGGGGGGGCGGAATATACCAGCGGCCTATAGTTGGCCCTAACCTAAGAGTGTTTTGCCGTGTAGTGTGCTACTCGTCGTGGCTATAGCGGTGTGCCGTATTTTGCCATTACGTGGATTATATAATCCTGGGAAACATAGTGTGCCTTACAGTGGTGCCTAGTTGTCAAGCCTTAAACAATTGAGAAAAATCAAGTCGAAAACCAGTGAAAGTCAAATTATAGCGAAACAATAATTATAGCGGTAGAGGCTTCGTAGTTGAAGCGCGTTTATGGATTGAGAGACAGTCAGTGGTGTCAGGTGGTTGCCTCAGGGGCTCCTCTTCCCCTCGGTAGAAAAGGGACAGTCCTGTTGGGGTCCCACATATGGGAGCTGGCGGGTACTTCTGTGTGGTCAGATCCTTGTGGCAGTCCCAGTGCCCTAATGAAAGAGTCCACCTCCTGAGTGGAGTTGAGGTGTAGAGTGGTGCCGTTGTGGTCCACCGATAGTGTTTTTGGTGCAGTCCAGTGGTATACTAACTTGGCGTCTTGGAGGCAGCGGGTCATAGGGCGCAGGGTTCTTCTCCATTGGAGTGTGGATCGTGTCAGGTCCTGATAGAAGGTAAGACTCGCGGTTTCAAAGTCCAATGGTGTTTTGCCTTTTAGGGCAGCGAAGATGGCATTTCTGTCTGTTTGGGTATGGCACCGTACGATCACATCTTTGGTTGCTTGGGGGGGTGCCTGTGGCGATTTTCGGATGCGAAATATCCCTGCTATATTTAATTTTTTGGCCTGTGCGTGTGGCATTATGGTGGCGGCCAGACGTCTAAAGTAGTGTGGTAGTTCCGCCTGACTTATTTCTTCAGGGATACCCCTGATTTTCACATTGCTCTTACGGCTTCTCTCTTCTGTTGCATCCAACTTGTTGAGCAGGGTTGTGTGTGATGCTTTTAGTTGGTGCACTGTTTCTTTTAGGCTTCTCATTTCGTTTTGAACATCTATGATGTCTTCTTCAGTGGTCTTCACTCGGTCTGTGACCGCCTGCACCTCCGTTTTCATTAAAGCCATGTCTGCTGCGGACATTTGTTTCAGCTCCATGAGGAGGTTTTTAATGTCTAATTTTGTGGCAGGTGTCAGTGCATCAGGGTCAGTTTGGGCTGAGTGATGTTCTAGGGTGTCCCCCAGGGCAAGCTCCGAGCACGTGGAGCCTGTGTCTGGGTCGGGTGTGGCCGCCATTTTCGGTGCCGCTGTGCGCTGGAGCATGGTGCTAATGTCTTGGGTATCTTTGCACGCACCTGTAGCTATCCGCTGGGATTTTCGTCCCATGTTTATCGGGTCGGTGTCTGTGTGCTCCGTGGGCGGTATGGCAGTGGAGAAGACCGCGTTGTGGAGCGCCGTCTCAAAGGCCCTGTAGTCTGGATAGTCCTTGGATGTGCGGCGTACTTTCCGTCCCGTCTGGCGGTATAAAAAGGGCATCGATCAGGTGAGTGCTTTGCCCCTCTGTCCTGGCCGTCGGTTGATAGGATTATAAGGGCTGTGAGAGGTTTGTTTGTCGGTAATTAGCCGCGTTTTTGCCGGAGCTCGCTACACATGCGACCGCTCCGTTCCGTGGTTAAGCTCCGCCCCCCAGAAAACATTTTTTGCTACTCCTTTACCCTAATTATAGTAAGGAGGGGACATAATAAGCCAACCAATCAGAGTGCTATGTCAGGTAAGTCTTACTTCTCTCAATACTTACCTTGCAAATATTCCCAGTAAAGTCCAGAGAGAAGTGAGATGTGCCTGTCAAAGAGCTCTGATTGGTTGGTTTACAAGCTCATCAATCAGACTGTTCTACTGAGAATTCAAAGTGTGGGGAAGGATTTTTAAAGGCTTTTCCTGCATTGAATCTTATTGTTCATGGAGCATATTTTTCGGGGATACGCCATACTCGACAATGTGTTCGCTTGGTTCAGCCAAAATTTGGTTGTGAAAACCGATTTGGCCAAACTAAACACTTTCTCAACGTGTAGTAGCTGGCCAGCAATTGCTAGCCAGCTGGTACATTAAATAATTAAAAAAATAAATTAAACCTATGGAGGTCAATATAACTTCCAAATTAGTATAAGTGAGTGGAAAATCTCCCTTATGATCACACCGCATGTGTACTAAAAGTGAGCAGCCAAGGAGACTGTAATTAAAATTAGTAACTACTGGTGCCCAGTCAATAACAAAAGGGACCTGATACAGCAATGACATTACCACCACCTCAACATATTAATCCCCTGCACCTCAAGCCCAAAAGCATGACTACTCCTATTGATTATTAAATAGCCCATGGGTGGGGAGGGCATTATTAGAGCCCCAGCCACTGCCTGTGGGGGCAGCACTAGATCCCCTTCATTATCAACATTAATACCCCACCTGCCGGCACAGTGGGACACTGTATTCTTGTAGCTTAATATTTTTAATTGATAGCCCTAGCATGGGTACACAGGGTGTGGTGATCTGTCTACCCCATCCTTAAAACACCCAACCATAATGGTTTGGCCATTTTAGTTGCTTAGGGATTAGAAGATGTGGTTGCACAGAATTCGTTTTTTTTTTTTTTGTCCAAATAGCCAGTTCACTAAAATTCAGCCGAATTGTCATTCTACTGAAACCAAATCTCCAAATCTACTGCATACATGCAAAAAGAAGAATTTAATCTAATTATGAAGGATTTCATGTAGTGTTTTCAATAATTCTTTATAAAATTGTTGCAACAATTTTTAGTCCATTTCTTGTTTATATTCATATATAATTACACTGCATCAGCATACTCCTTATGGCAATGTGATTCATGTATCAAGCAAACCAGTACTTAACAAACAAGATCAGGTGAATTAAACAAATGGAAGAAGAGTAATGATTAATCCAGCCTGAAGATCTAGTGGATCTTTAACCCCTTAAGGACACATGACGTGTGACATGTCATGATTCCCTTTTATTCCAGAAGTTTGGTCTGTAAGGGGTTAAAGAGTTATTTTATAAAGTGAGAATTGTAAGGAATTGAAAGTGAATTTCAAATTTTAGACCAAAATAAGCAGACTGGAAGCATAGATGACATGAAAAATATTTAAAGTTCAGTTATTTTGGTCTTGAATTCACGCTCAGTTCCTGACAGTTTTCACTTTAGTAAATAACACTGTGTTTATAAAGAAATGTGTAGCCAGAGAAGAAGATCAATATTACATCAACTCATCCACTATATGTAGACCCTAAAATAAACCTTCCAGGTTTTTATTCACGTGTTTATTAATTTATGAATTATTGAAACAAGACGGTTCTAGAACTAATCTATGCAAAAGCAATCTGACAGATCGGGATGTTCTCTCTCTCTCAAGTACTCTTCTCGTCTGAGAAAACTGAAAGCTCTTGAAATGTCAGATCTGCCATGGGCATTCCCTTATGCAATACAGTCTATGAGCTCTATTAGCAGGGTATGTTTCTTTTCTTATAAAAGGAAACCTGCTGAATCAGTCTGATTACATTTGATCATGGTATTAGAGTTGCACTATTAGTTCAGTAATGTAGATGCAAAATAATAAGGTATTGCAGTTTCTTGTAAATACTTTTTTTTTCATTTTAATTGGACCAACAGAAATTAGCAGTGACAAGTTTTTGAAAGTTACCCCCTTAATCACGTCTTAAGCATTTGATCAGGAATTGTTGCTCAGCTACCTTTTATCTCATCACTTTGGTCCAATAAACATATGAAAAAATAATATGTCTGCATGATATCCAATATTTTGTTTTGGAAGATTGGATCCTTTTATTTTTTTAATTGTTTGTTTTATTTTCGGGGCGTATAAAGAGTGCTTCAAATAGCATAAATAGGTGGTTACATCTATCTATCTATCTATCTATCTATCTATCTATCTATCTATCTATCTATCTATCTATCTATCTATCTATCCCTTTATACAAATTCTCTCAATTATCTTGTAACTTACATAAGAATGAAGGAGGCTTTAGTATTTCCTTAATTCTAAGTGTGTTCTCAGACATATTTATTGTGAGTGACAGATTAGGTGATCTAACCTCCAGACTGTAGTAGGTGACACTGAAACGATTCTTTGCATGCAGTTGCGTGGATTCTACTGGTGTTTACCACATATGTAGGTTGTCCAAAGACTGTTAGATTCTATAGAGCTTAAAGGAACATTGTCACTCCTAGTCTGATTCAAATTAGTCTGTGGGCAATTATAGTAATCCTCCACTAGAGGCACATATTTACACATCTGTAAACCATTCTGCTTTGCCCAATTGCAGTGACATTGTCTATTATTACCTGGTTAGAATACACTGTTAAGTTCTTAGAATGAGTTGCTAAGCAGAGCATAGTGATCTTTGCTCAGGTAAGAGTGAGCTCGCTACTGAGAATTATTTAAATGACAAAGACCAGTGGAATATGAGGAGTAACATTTTTCTGTTACGCATTACCTTCTATCTCCCTTCCTGGTGAAGACGACCAGCCACACTCCTCTATAATTCTCGATCTTTCAGATATACTTCCTTTGCCCATGCTTCCTTTGCTAGCAATATTGTTGCAAAATGAGCAGTTTAACTTTAAACTTTTATTTGGTCTTTAAAATGGATGTTGATTTAGGATGTAGTCTGCTTAGGAGAGATTCAAACATGTCTGAAATTCCTGAAAAATACATGGGCCAATTACAAACATTAAAATAAATGTTGGCATGAATTCTGAAGATTTGCTTCATTCTTTGTCCTTAGATTAACACGTTCTGAACCAGATTTAGGCAAATGCCTTGTTATTTTTACAACTTTGGCCTGTTGTTGGTTCAGAAGTAGTTAATAGAAATCATAAGACTTTATCCTAGTGGATCTAATAATTTTCTTCTATCAAGTAATGGCCTGAGGCCTTTTGATAATGCAGACTTCATAAGCTCTTCTCATCAAAATTCCACAAAATTACAGACTAAAGAATTACAGCCTTTGTGCTGACCTTGGCAGTTATCCAGCAGCAGTACATCTTTAGTTCTGTCTAGTGTACCAAAGTGATTGGGTTTAACAAACGTTAAAATGGTAGCAATAATCACTGATGTCTGAATGTGTTGGAGGACTCGCTGTTGCTGGTGACATTTGATTGTTCATTCTCTATGTTCTCTGTGGTGCTGGAGAGGAGGTATTCTTTCTTCCTGCTTTCCTCTCTCTCGATTTGCAACCATTTTGCCTTTCAGACCTTTATATGTGTGTTCTACTTTGACTTCTAGATGCTGCTGTGCTAATGCAACTCTGATAAATTTCAACATTTGTGTTCTGAGTCCAGAGTATAAGCATCACTGGTGGCCACATACACTGGAGCTATGAATGTTATGGGAGGTGCTGAGCCTGTTCTCACATCTACAAATTACCTGGTGTGGGGTTACAGGATGCAGAATGAGTTTGTGAGGAAGGATTTCTGGGACACGGTGGAAAAGTCCCCAATGGCAATTAATGCAGAAATAATCCAGTGGGAGACAAAGGACAGAAAAACAAAAGCTGAGATGTCCACATTTGATAATAACAGTGATACATACCACCCTAGGACAGCCAAGGAGCAATGAGAAAGCTTACAGTGGTAGGAAAACTTGGTCACTCCAGATGTGGACTACCTCACCCTTGGTGCTTTGCCTGCATTATGGCTGTAAGAGCATTTTGGGAAATATAGTCCTCATCATCTGGAGTGCTGAAGGTTGCCTATCCCTGACCTTGGAAGACTTCTTGTATGGAGGTAGTTGTGTAAATCAAAGACTTCATCAAGGAAACTCTTCAACGTTTAGATGTCTGCGAGGAAACCTAGAGAAACATCTAAATCAAATGTCAGAATTAACTGATCAAATAGATTCTATTGGAATGAAATTTGATGAGGACAAAGTGATCCTGATTTTATCAAACCATCCACAAAGCTACAATGAATTCATTCATTTATGTACTAAAACTAGAGAAAATCTCTCTGAAACTATTTTACAGCACATCTTAAAGAAAAGTCAGTCACAGGACCTGAAAAAAGCAAGAAGTGGTAAAACACAGACATTTGCAATGCAGAACAATGAGAAACATGTCAAAGGAAGCAATCAGTTTATTACAGCAGACAATGGACACACAAAGGGGAAAAAAAGGAGAATATTTTACTTCGCAAGGCTACCACAGACAAGAAAGAGCTTCTACAAAGCAAAAGGAGCACAGTACAACATATTTCATTGTTCAAGAAAAGGCAGCTAGATACAGGTAGAATGCAAAGATTCTAATTACTTCACAAACTGAGACAATAATGTTACAGAAATATGTAGAAAAAGCAGAGACATTAAACAACAAAGTGCAAAATGCAATTTCTAACCTTAAAGGACCACTATAGTGCCAGGAAAACATACTTGTTTTCCTGGCACTATAGTGCCCTGAGGGTGCCCCCACCCTCAGGGACCCCCTCCAGC